TATTAATTTTAAATTCTAATATTTAGATAACTATTATACTAATACTTTGTCTTATTGGATCTTCAGGAAACAGATGTGGTACCAGATACAAGGCTTTTGGGCAAGTTTAGTCAGATTACACCTCAGCTCTTTACCCTACCAGATGAGACTGCCCATAGTCCACCACTGGGGATTTTGTACATTATCGACTTCTTCATTGCTTTGACAATTTGCAACACTGTAGTGGTTTCTGCTCCTAACCAACCACGACAAAAGGTAAAGTCTCTAGTACAAATAAGGATCAGCTTCCAGATGTGGATTTGGGGTTTAAATGTACTTGTACTAATCTTGTTATACAGGCTATTGTTGTTCTGAGTCATTAGTGATTTTGTATAGGGTTTCTGAGGAGCAACTGGTGGGTTTGAACTGCTGACCTTGCAGTTAGCAGTCCAGGACTGATCCTACAGTGTCACATATATGGTTTGTTGTTAAGTTTGTGGAGTTGATTCTGACTCAACGACCTTGTGTAGGGTTTCCAAGGTGTGGCTGGTATATTTGAACTGCCGACCTTTCCCAGTTTAAACCAACCTTGTGATCCAGTGCATTATCCCACAGTGCTACACCAGGACTCCACATATATGGGTAATAATAATAAAATAATAATAGCAGCTAACACTCAACATTTATTATAATGTTCTAAGTGTGTTACCTCAATTAGCATCACATTTAATCCTTCCAACAACCATGAGAATTAGATACTATCACTCTGCTGTCTACAATTTACAGATGAGGTTAAGTAACTTGCCCATGGCCATATTTTGTTGAATTTGAGGAAGTAGGGTCTGAACTCAGGAAATATGACTTAGGCATATTATACTATTTTGCCTTTAGGAGGATTGCTGATGAGACAGACTTGTAGAGTGTGGCTTTGTTCATTTTGCTTTGGTTTCCATACCAAATTTGAGGTTACTTTGGGACTTTTGGGATGAACAACATCATGCTCCACATCAAGCAAAATATAAAGTATTGGCTTCATTTAGAGAATTCCCTTTTAATTTACCAGTTGAGTTAGTTTTAGCTAAATCTAATCTAATACATCTATAATATACCAAGGTTCTGTAGTTCCCACAAAGCCAGATTATTAAAGCATGTTTGTAGCTTAGAATTCATGGAAAACTTATTTCTGATTAGGAAGAAACACTTGTTTTAGAGACTGAGGATTTATTGTTTGCTCTGGCAGTTTCTTCGTGTATAAATACCTCCTCTTTTGCACACATCCACTTAAAATTCAATTTGCAGCACAATCCAATTCAATTGTAATTTTCCATGAGATTATTTTCTTTTGACAACTTCAAAAGTGGTCAGCTTTAGCACAAAAATACTTTAGTTCCAATTAAGCATGATTTGATAGGAAACTAGTTTTATAAGGTTTCAGCTGTAATGTTGCTCTTTGAAAAAATGATTACAGTTGCCCTCTATATCCACATGTTCCATATCCATGGATTTACCCAACTATGGATTGAAAATATTTTTTAAAAAAAGCTCCCCCAAACCAATACAGTGGTCAAAGCTGTCCCTCAATTGCTAAGAGGAAGCACAGTGTAAACAGTAGAGCAGATCATAAAGTGTTATTTACATAGTGTTTATATAGTACAGTCCTGGTGTGCACTGTAGGACAAGTACTGGCCTGCTAACTAAGTTTGGTGGTTCAAACCCACCAGCCACTACTCAGAAACCCGATGAGTCACGACTGACTAGAAGGCACTCAATAGCAGCAGGTATTATAAGTAATCTAGAGATGATTTAAAGTACATGGGAGGATGTGCATACATTATAAAAACACAGTACCATTTTATATAAAGGATTTGAGCAGCCTTGGATTTTGGTTTCTGAAGGAGGCCCTGAAACCAGTCCTCCACAGAGATTGAGGAATGACTGTATGTGTTGTTGTTGTTGTTAAGTGCCGTCGAGTCAGCTCCGACCCATAGCGACCCTATATAGGGTTTCCAAGGAGCAAATGGTGAGTTTGAACCACCTATCTTGCAGTTCAAATGGCTTTGCAGTCTGGTACATTAACCCACAGCAACACACCAGGACTGTATGTGTAGAGAATTTATTAGTGTATTCTCTTTTTCTCCTACAACATTTTCTCATACATTTACCTGCAAAGTAGGAATCTTTTGGAGTTTCCTATTTAAGGAATAATGTTGCTTTATCCCCAATGAAATCTCTGTAGGCCTGTAAAACCTAAGCTTCATGACATTTCACAGTAATGATAGATAGAAAGGTAGGAGGACTAAGAAGCTAATCAGAATTCATGTGGAATACAGAAACATCATCTGAGATTGATTTTCACTCTGCTTTTCACTGAAGAGATGACAGTAAGTTTGAAACTCAATCATTGAGTCCCTCAAAATAATACTCATTATAAAATTAGTATTGGGAGAATTGCTGTATGTAATTTCCTTGGACATTTTTGAATGGGGGAATTTTAGGATGCAATTCATGAGTCTCCCACAATTCATATTAACTTTTAAATCTAATCACTAATAAAAGTTAGCATTTAAAATAAATCAGGTTAGGAACAACAACAAAAAGTTCTATAAACATCGAAATTCAATTTCACATTATAATGTTGGGTGTTCTTACTTAGCTGTTACATAGCTCTTCTTACTTAAGCTTCCTTTGCTTACTGGTCTGTTTCATCTTGTTTTGTTATTTGTTTTTACATCAAATAACAACCTTTTTAGAATTTGGGAAATTAAAGAGAAAAATATATTTTGTTAATTTTTTTTTTTTTTTTTTACTTCTGATTACTATCGCCCAGTATTATTTCATATGACCTTTTTTTCTTATTTATTCTTATACTGTTCATACAATTTTTATTGTATTGATTTCAATACTGCCCCATTGTCTTTATAAACATTATTTAACAATACACAGCATTTGGGAATATAATGCAACATTAAAGAATAACGAAGAATCCATGAAACACCTCATAGCATGGATGATGTGCTGAGTGAAACAAGCCAGTCAAAAAGGACACATTTTGTATGAGTCCACTATTGTAAGAAGTCAAGTGAAGAGCTACATGCAGAAAAATATATATATCTACCCTTGATGGTAACCAGGGATGGAAGGGAATGGGAGGGGTATTTATCTGGGTAAATCGAAAGGCATCATAGAATAAGGGGATGACTAACACAATATCACTAAAGAAAAAAAAAAGATTCAAGAGGTACACAAGAGTTACAGATGACAAAGATAAATACTATTACACACACAATCCTGTGTGACCCTGTGTAGGGTTTCCGAGGAGTGCCCAGTGAGCTTGAACAACCAACCTTGCAATTTAAACCAAATTTTGCTATTATTAAATACTTAATTTGCTTATAATTTCAAAATTATTATTGGTCCAAAATGAACATTTTGGGCTTTCCAAAATGTAAATGATTTCCTTGGGAAAAATGATTTGAACTGTTCCCTTTGGGTCAACTGACCTTAGTGTTTTATGGGTTATTGTATCAGAAGTAGCTGTCTATTGCTTTCCTAAATATTTGAAGACATTTATAATACCCTTGACATTAGCAGATCTTTTTTGGTCATTGTTGCTGTTCAGTGCCATGATTTGGTCCTGACTCACAGCAACCCTGTATAAGGTTTCTAAGGAGTAGCTGGTAAGCTTCAACCACCAACCTTGCAATTCAAACTGACTTTGCAGTCTAGTACGTCAACCCACAGCACCACACCTGTCTTTTATTTATAAAATTTTTTGACCATTGTAAGTATTCAATTTGTGTATCTCATTTTTTTCCCAGTTTGATTTAAAAGTTGTTATGAACTGCTTTGGACTGTATTATTGATACCTTCATAAATGATCTTTCATAGATAAGACGGTCATCAAGTAGTGGAATGCCCATTAAGTCTTTGGAAGAAATTAAAAACCTCTTTCAGAGATTGTCTGTCCGAAGATCAAGTTCACCATCTCTTGCCAACGGCAAAGAGCCATCTTCTGGAGTTCCAAGCACTTTTGTGAGCAGAGTGTCTCTCTTTAATCGAATGAAACTGGCTTCACCGGTGGAGGAAGAAGGCTCCCAGATGAGCGAGAGCCCCCAGAACGCTAGTAACTCTGCTTGCCATGAAGAAAGAGAGAAACAAAATAGTAGTGATGCAGGCGGCCCCTGTGGCCAGGTGGACTCCCTCCCTGAACATCCAATGGCCTCGGGCCTGTGTTATGAGGCCGAGAGCCCAGATGAAGCTGCCTTAGTGTATGCTGCCAGAGCTTACCAATGCACTTTACAGTCCAGGACTCCAGAGCAGGTCACGGTGGACTTTGCTGCTTTGGGACCATTAACATTTCAACTCTTACACATCCTGCCCTTTGACTCAGTAAGAAAAAGAATGTCCGTTGTGGTCCGGCACCCCCTGTCAAACCAGGTCGTGGTGTATACGAAAGGCGCGGATTCTGTCATTATGGAGTTGCTCTCTGTGACCTCACCAGGTAGGTACACACAGAGCTGTGAGGATAATGATTAGAAGCGTCCTGAAATTAAAAGGCTACACTCAGTGGCTTTATAAAGGCAAAGAAGCAGATATCTGGGTATCAAACACATCTCGTGAATTATTTGACAGCAAAGCAGTGAGCTTTGGGGATGCACAGACCTGGGTTCACATCTAGACTCTGCCATTATAGCTGGCTCTTGATGAAGTCCGTGCCTGACTCATTTTCTCTAAAGTGGACATTATATGATCTTTTCAGAAGGTCTTGAGAGGTTTGAATTTAAGGTTTAAACATATGAAATATACGTCGAGTCTTTGAACAAATGTCTAGCAAATAGTAAGTGCTCAATAAATTGCAGCCCACATTATTATTGTTACTTTTAAGGTTAATAATGTGCAAACTTTGTGCATATTAAGTTCTTGGTTATTCCACAAGGAGAAATCAACCAGGGAAAGATTTATTCTGAGGGGGATCTCATGTAGATGCATATTTGTGATTCAAAACTAAAAGGTTTTTAAGTTAGTTGTGGTTAAACTATCACTATTTTTAATGACAGACTGCTGGAGATAACTTCTTGTTTGTTAATTATTTCAGATGGGGCACATCTGGAAAAGCAACAGATGGCTATAAGGGAGAAAACCCAGAAACACTTGGATGATTATGCTAAACGAGGCCTCCGTACTTTATGCATAGCCAAGAAGGTGAGGCTGCTGGGTTTAAAAGAATTTTGCCAGAAGAGTCTCATGTTTAATTATTTATCTGTTAGTGCCTTTGTCAGGGAGCCTTTGTGGTATAGTGGGTTGCATGTTGGCCTGCTAACTGCAAGGTCAGCAGTTCAAATCCACCAACAACTCCACAGGAGAAAGATGAGGCATTCTGCTCTCATAAAGATTTATGGGAAACCCATATATAGGGGTCGCTATGATTCGGACTGACTGGATGGCACACAACCAGCCAATCAGCCAACCAATGCCTTTGTATGTGAAGAGCACTTTAGTCAGGGACAAAAAACAGTGGATCTTACTTTCTTTTCCAAATACCTTGAAAATACTGCTCCTCTAGTAAAAGCAAGATCACAGACCAGCTTGGATTTTCCTTTTATAAGTTCTAGTCTTTTTGCTAGATGCCCATAAAAGTCTTTGTCTGTAAGTTCAAATAAATTCACTACTCTGTATTAAGGAACTCTGGTAGCGTAGTGGTTACAAATTGGGCTGCTAACCTTGAGGTTAGCAGTTTGAAATTACCAGCAGTTCCATGGGAGATAGATGAAGCTTTCTGCTCCCATAAAGATTTATAGCCTTGGAAACCCTGTACAAGGTCTCTGTGAGTCTGAACCAACTCCATGGTACTTGACAACATTATGTTTCCTTGGGACATAGTGCATTCTTTTTTACATAAAAATTTAAGTAATAGGAAGGAAGACAGAGCTACTGAACACATGATTTGAGGGATATTATTACAGAGCCTGCATGATAGAATTTTGAAAGTCCAACAAACTTTGGAAATCCCTTTTTCAGCAATATAAATGACAATTATACATGTGAGTCTCACCAGATGAAGTACACAGAAATTAAATTGACTACATCTGTGGAAAGAGATAATGAAGTTCAGAATCACCAGGCAGAACAGGACAGGGACGAATAGCAGAATAGACCATCAAATGCTCATATGCAAGTTCAAATTGAAGCTGAAGAATATTAAAACAAGTCTACAAGAGCCAAAGTTCAACTTTGAGTGTATTCTACCTGAATTTATAGACCTTCTGAAGAATAGATTTGACTCATTGAGTACTAATGACCGAAGACCACATGCTTTGTGAGATGACATCCAGGACACAATACATGAAGAAAGCAAAACACAGGAAAGAAAGAACAGATCTAAATGGAAGTGAGAAGAGACTCTCAAACTTGCTCTTGAACATAGAGTAATTAAAGGTAATGGAAGAAATGATGAAGTAAAAGAGATGAACAGAAAATTGCAAAGGAAAACCCAAGAAGAAAAAGCAAAGTATAATAACAAAATGTGCAAAGACCTGGAGTTATCAGGGTGAGTCAAAAATTATCCATACTCTGACTGTAGAATTTATTTTAATCAACTTTTAGAAAAGCCAAATACATCATTTTTCAACATAATCTCCTTGCTTTTCTGTACATTTGTACATCTGTCAAAAAGCTTTTGTATTGCCTTATTGAAGCATGTTTTAGGCTGAGCTGTGAGCCACAAATTCACCACTTCATCAGAGGTGAATCTTTGTCCTAGAAGGGCTGCTTTCAGGGAACCAAACAAGTGAAAGGCCAATGGCGCAAGATCAGGACTATAGGGAGGATGCTTTCACACCTCAAAATGATGTTTTTGCAGAGTGTCAACAGTGTGGGCAGAGGTATGGGGACGTGCATTGTCAT